GACTTATGCTCACAGAAACCGGGACCTAGGGCCTTTGTTGTCTGGTGTGTCAGCGCCATTTTGGGAGCCGCCCCTCTGGTCACTTCCTGCACCCTTCAGTAGTTGAAAGAGAGAACAGAAAGAAGACTGAGTACTAGGTAGGCAGCAGGACCCCAAGGCTTAGTCCTAGCCCAATCCTGTCAGCCTGCCTCATGAGCAGGGCCGACCCTTAACCCCTGGCTCCGGTTCCTCCTTTGTGAAGTCAGGGGAACAGTTGAAATGGTGGTTTCCACGTGTGTCTCTCAGCCATGACCAGGATTGTCTTCAGAGAGCTGATACTAGAACTCTGGAATTCCACTCTCAGTTCAGCTAGATAGCTCTTGGCTGAGCTTTTACATAAGAGTTTACACTTGCAGCTTTCAAACTCTTATTTAAAAGCAGGAACACAATCCTTCAAATCTAATTAAGAGCAGAGCAGTTTGTTGAAAGGAAGGGGCTTCCCTGTTACCCTCAAGACAGTGAAGGAATGCCAGAGAGCCTGGTTTGAAAAATACTGGACCCTTTGAGGTCTAAATTTTAGTTTGTGCCTACCTGTAGACATGATACAGTAAATTGTTACCTTAGGTCAGTTTTTGTCTCCATCTCTCTGTAGACCCTAAGAGATATAAGGGCTAAGTCAGGCAGTGCTTTTGATGTACTTGGATTATGTGAGAGTCTAAGTGTTTGTGCCACTTGGGAGGATGTACCCAGATATATGTGCAGTCTTATTTTCCCCTAATTAATGATGCCCTAGTCTTCTCTCCTGGCCATTTGGGACATTACAGGAGAACACAGAAGGAAAAAACAGAAATGGCCATATGCAACTTCACAGGCCCTTTAGACACAAAAGGATTACAAATAGATTCAAGAGAAGTAGTTAGTATGTCTTTGAATACATGTCATGTGTGAAGAACTCTTTAAATTACAGAATGGTCCACTCCTTAATTTCTCAAGTGTTTATTAAAGGGCCTGTCTCAGGTACATGGCTACATGCTGTGGATGTAACAGTGAATCGAATGCCCTTTGAAGTTAATAGACTGAAACCTTAAACTTAGTAAGAGAGTCTTTTTTTTTTTTTTTTTTTTTTTTTTGAGTTGGAGTCTCACTCGGTCCCCTAGACTGGAGTACAGTGGCTGCTCCCGGCCACTGCAGCCTCACCTGCTGGGCTCCGGTGATCCTTCCGCTTCAGCCTTCCGAGTAGCCGGAATTACAGGCATACGCCACCACGTTCCACGCCCAGCTGATTTTTTGATTTATTGTAGAGATGAGGTCTCGCTACCCAGGTGGGTCTCGAACCCGCGGGCTCAGGCAATCCACTCACCTCAGCCTCCCAGAGGTGCGGGATTATAGGCTGAGCCACCGAGCCTGGCTAAGAGTCATTTTAAGTAGCCACTTTCCATGTGTTCTGAATTGGGAAGCAAGCCAAAGAAATGCAAGCTGGAAAAACATTACAAAAAAGTACACAGTTATTTCTATGATATAAGTTATATAGCTTCATTTTAGTTTGTAACGGAACATATTTCTGGTTTCATACAGCACTGGAGTAATATAACAGCTTTAGTAAATGTCCATTGAGTATCCTTCAACATGTTACAATAGATCCGGGTTAGTGAATGAGACTCTAAGAGAGTTTACAGCTTGAGTGCAGGCAAGCCGACAGTCAGCTTTGATAAAAGGTGGCATGTACATGCTCTCAAGGAAGGTTTCACGGAACTTGGAGCTGAAAAGGAGAGGAGATAGCATTCCTGTTGAAAGATCAGGGAAGATTTCATAGAGAAGCTGCCATTTGTGGTGGACTTTGAAGGATGGATAAGTGTCCAGAGACACAGAGGGAGAGGCAGAGTGTCCCTGGGAAAGCACAGGTATATAGAGGACCCTGTGCGTTGTCCAGTTCATGTTGTGCATGGGAGCCCGAGGGTAGATTGAAACTTGAGGTGCCGTGAACCCAACCTAAATTTCTGAAAAGTGAAGAATTTTATTATTTCTATAAAACATTCACATTTCCAAAGCAAAATAAGATTTTAGTATATATTTCTTAGTTTAAAAATAGCCGCCACTGCTTCCTAATTCTGAAAGGACTTGGCCCACATGTAGCAAATGCAAGAGATCAGTGGAGGGCTTTAGCTTCTGTTCTCAGAACGCTGTTCTCTCTTTTTTCTCTTTGCTTCTCCTTCCAGACGCCTAGACGTCTGTCTCATTCTTCTTTTCTCACACTTCTCTTCCTTTTGCCTCAAGTGTCTTCCTTATACTAGCATATAGATGTGTCTAGTGTTTTGAGAGTTAAGACTTATTACCTCAATTTTCAAAAATGTTTTAAGTGATTGAACATTTTATAGTTTTCTCTTTTTGGAATTTCCTATATTATACTACTTTTTAGTTATGTGGAGTTATTTGTGCATTTCTCTTTTTCTTTTGGTGTTTTTGTTTTTTGTTGTTTGTTTGTTTGTTTGTTTGTTTGGTTGGAGTCTCACTCTGTCACCCAGACTGGAGTGCAGTGGCCGCTCCCGGCCACCACAGCCTCGACCTGCTGGGCTCCGGTGATCCTTTTCGCCTCAGCCTTCCGAGTAGCCGGAATTACAGGCATGCGCTACCATGCCCGGCTGATTTTTTGATTTATTGTAGAGATGAGGTCTCGTCTGCCCAGGCGGGTCTCGAACCTGCGGGCTCAGGCAGTCCACTCACCTCAGCCTCCCAAAGGCACGAGATTACAGGCTGAGCCACCGAACCCAGCACATGTCTCTTTTTCAATGGATTAACACAACAAATGGTTAACTTAAGGAATTTACGACCCAAACAGGAAGAAGTTTGGAAACTATTTGGTGGCTAGAACTGTGTGTGTTTGCTCTGAATAAGATAAGAGTACAGGTATTTGAAAGGGTGGTTGTTAGCCCGGGTAACACCACTTTAACGACCCCCGCCATTTTGCTAGCTGCCCTGGGATGGAAAATTATCAACTAGCCTAGGCTGCAACGCATCCTGTCTGGCACCTAGCCTAACAGCAAGGCTGCCTTCCTACTCACTTAACCACAAGCCTTAGTTACCCCCCCCAGCAATGCTAACCACAAAAATCCCCCTAAGCCCTGTAACTGCCCTAACCTGTAAGCATTAGTGGGCTTCACTTTCCTGGAATCCCCTCCATAGGTTCTTCACCTTTGAATAAACCCATGTTGCTGTTGAGCCGCCTGTCTCTCGACTCTCTTTTCCTGTCTGCTCATTTTCTTGACCTAACATTCGGTGCCAAAACCCGGGAATGGGGTTTAAGGTCCCACCATGGCCCAACTCCTAAATTGTCCCCATACCTAGCCCCATTCTCCTCCATCCACTCTCCCTCATTCTCTCTCCTCTCCTACCCTTTTCCAACTTCCCCTCCCTCAACTCGGGCGGCTCTAGCAGGACGTTCTTCATTGCTGGACAGTTCATGCAACACCGGTCACTAATCAGTGGGTGAGTTTTTTTCCTTCCCCCATCTCAGATTCCTCTCTTTTGCTCTTTTCTGTCCAGGACAGAGAGCCTGTCGAAAATCCCGGCTCCAGGTGAGAGTAATTTGGTGACCCTGATTGTGGTTGTCACTTTGGAGGACACTCTTAAAGCGGGCACCACCTGTCAATAATTGTACTCATTGCTTTGGGGTGAAACCCTTAAAGCGGACACTGCCTGTCTTTTGGGAACAAAGTCCATGAGGACGCCCCATTCTTTCACTGTTTCCCTATTTCCCGAGGATCAATTTGCTCAGCCCACCAAATGTCTCCAGTGTGGGTCAAGCCTCCTCTAAACCTCCCCAAGACACACCTCTCGGATATCCCCTTCACGACCTCAAAAATCTAGGTCCTACTCTAAGACCAAAGCGTCTCATTTTCTTCTGTTATACAGCCTGACCCTAGTATCAGTTGACCCGAAAATGGAACCTTTAACTTCCAAATTCTCCGTATCCTTAACAATTTGACTTCTAAATTCTCTGTAACCTCAACAGTTCACTCTAATGCAATGGAAAAAAGACCGAGGTCCCCTATGCTCAAGCTTTCCTCCATCTCCAATCCAAGTCCTCCCCCTGCCAAACCTGTAATCCTTTCAAGTTCTCCTTATTCACAGCCTCCTCCTCCTTTTCTCTCTCTCCTTCACACTCACTCTTGTACCCAACGTCCTTGTACCCCAGTCATCTCCAAAATTCCTCTCCCGTCCTCCTTCTCAGAGAGGTCACTGGAGTGGAATTCATGTTCCTTTTTTCCTGGGCAGCCTCAAATTAAAAAATGCCTAGGCTCTTCACCTCTAACCCTATTTACCATAAGAAATTCCTCCACATCACACAGTCCCGTGACCTTACCTAGCATACTTGAATGTTATTCTTTCCCCCTCCCTTTCCCCAGAGGAGAGGCAACGCATCTGGGCAGCAACCCAATCCCCTGCTGACACCCTCCATAAGCAGGGCAATCCCATGCTGACACCCTCCATAAGCAGGACCCGGCCCATAATCCCAAAAGCAACACAGCAGTGCCCTATGCAAAGCCCTCTTGGGATTATCAGAGTAACTCCCCAAATAAACAGA